CCCCCCGGGCTGCCACTGCCTCAGACAGGCTTGTTCTAGACCCTCGAAGGACCACCCGGTGTTCCTGTCGCCAAGGGACCGTTACAGGGGAACACGAGCGGCCTGAGGTCAGCGGCATGGGCCCTGAGTTCCCAGGCCGGTGGGGGAGCCGGGCCTTCCTCCGAGGGGCTCCAAGCAGGGCCCGTGACGCCTGCGTTTACACACTGGAGGTTTCCTCCAGAAACCACGCGCCGTGGAGGCTGGGACAGCACAGAGACCTGTGGGCAGCTCTGCACTGTCTGGGGGTGAGACAGTAAGAGGACTCTGGGGAGGAGGGCAGGCCTGAGGGTGGGCACGGGAGGTGGGGGCAGCGAGACGGTGTTCTGGGGAGGAGAGGCTGGCTGGGGTATCCACGGAGCAGCTCTGCAGCAGCAAGGGAGAGGCAGGGCAAGGACAGTGGATTTGAGGAGGCACGAGGGCAAGGAAGACTTGGACGAAGTCGCTGTGTGGGCACCGGCCACAGGTGCACGTGGCTTTCTGGGCTCAGCGGTCTGGAAATGGGGCCAGCCCTAACGGAGCTGAGGCCGCTGGGAAGGGCTGCCGACCAGAGGCGCAGGAACTCTGCAGAGGCGAGGAGGTGGCAGGAGCCTATGTGCCCCATCAGCCCCTGGGACTTCGACCAGACACTTGGACCTGAAGCTCATCCACCAGCTATTAAAAACCCTCATCCCGCGAAGCCTCCCTAGGGGCAGGCACGTTCCCGGGCTCCCGCACGCCCTGAGCCACCCTGGTGTGACCCTCAACAGGCCTGCTGCAGTCGCCGCTGTGCTGGGAGCTCCTGGGCAGTCTGGTTTGTGTCTGAGCGCGGCGAGGGCCCAGGGCCCCACAGAGGCACACACAGTGGTACCTGGTGACAGTGGACAGCCTGGCGGGGCCCCGAAGGTGTGGGACAACCATTACCTCTGTCCTCAACACTCACACCAGTAACTAAGCACACAGTGTGCGGAGTGCCCGGAAGGGGACAGTGCCCTGCCCGTGTCAAGACCAGATTAGACCTTCCACGGTGCGGGGACATTCCACCTGGCACGGGAGGATGAGTGGGAAAGAGAGAAGAGGGTTTGGATGACCCCCTAAATTCAGGTGTTAAGACTTGACATAAGAAGAAAACTTAACCCCGTGACGGTGTTGAGAGGTGGGGCCTTTGGGGGAGCTAGGACTAAGGTCAGCAGAGTGGGGCGCAATGACAGAAGCCTAGTGGTGACAGGGAGGGAGACAGGAACGTGGATCCTGGCCCCCAAACCACAGTAGAATAAACCTCTATTCTTATAAAGTACCCACTTTCCAGTACTTACTGTTTTTTTTTTTAATCTATTCACTCATTAATTTTAATTTGACTGGAGAGAGACACACACACAGAGAAAGAGAAGGAAGGTGAGAAAGCAAGCTGCCAGGTCCGGGACTGGAACCGTGGTCGCCATGAGGGAGTGTCTCTCTGTCTGGCGAGCGCACGCGCCCTATAGCGAAAATCTCTCCAAAAAAAAAGAACGGAGGGGAACAGGGGCAGGACAGACGACGGGAAGGGAAGAAAAGTGGCCTCTGAGCCGGGGGCTCAGCCAGCACTGGCACCAGGACCTCCCCCGACCCCTCCTCGCCGCAGGGACCAACCTGGATGCAGGGCGAGGCGCGGCCCTGCTGCCGGTGGCTGTACAGCGTGTCCAGCAGCCACTGCAGCTGCGCGGTGCCCATGGGGTTCTGGCCCGAGATGATCCCGAACACCAGCACTTGGCTGGGGTCTCGGGGCGCAGACAGGAAGCGCTCCAGCTCCACGTCGGAGACCAGGGGCGGCTTCACCACGCACTTGCAGCCGGCGCGGACGTCCTCCTTGCACATGAGCCTGCGCAGCACGAGCGGGCAGTCGAAGGGCGAGGCCGCCCACCGGGTGGGGCTGCGCACCTCGCGGCTCTTCCCTCTGCAAGGAGCACACGGTGGGCGGGCCTGAGCGGCAGGTGGCGGCCCCCGCTCCAGGGGAACGCAGCCTGCTGGGGTCTGAGCTGAAGGCAGGGGCTAGGCTGGCCCTATAAGGCGGATCCATCACTTAGTCCAAAAACCCTGGAGTCATCTTAACTCCTCTCCCCTTAACACATCCCTCCCACTCCAAGAGCCACCAAGCTCACTCTCGTGTCCCGTTTGAGTTTTTTTTTTTGTTTTGTTTGGTTTTTTTTTTTTTGAGAGGTTTTTGCTATAGGGCACGTGTGCTCGCCAGAAAGACAGAGAGAGACAGAGAGACAGAAAGCGAGAAATCACCCCCCAGGAGGATGGCCACACCGCAATCCCTTCTCCTCCATTCTCCTCTTGGGATCTTGGGCATGCACGCACACGCGCCCGGCGTGAGTTTAAGCCACCGGGTCCGGGACGCGAACCGCGGTCGACTACATGGGAGTCCAGCGACAAAGCCATTATGCCAACTGCTGGTCCCTCCTTTGAGTTTTTAAGAGAGATTTTTTGGCGCTCACTAGAGAGATGAGACACAGCAAGAAATCACCTCCCGCCAGGGGGGAGGATGGCCACGCCGCAATCCCTTCTCCATTTCTCCTCTTGGGATTTTGGGCACGCGTGCACATGCGCTGGGCGTGAGACTGAAGCCATTGAGTCCCACACTCAAACCGCGGTGGACCATGTGGGAGTCTAGCCGTGGAACCACTACGCCATCTGCTGGTTCGAATGGCACCTTCTTAGTGAGACTTTCTGCTCGTCCATTGCATCCTTCCACGCCAATGCTCTTCCCCTCCCTGGCTTTCTGTTTCCCTGAAGCGTGGCTCATGGACCTGCTCTGCTCTGTATTTCACTTCCTTCTGTTTTTGTTTGTTTGTTTGTTTGTGAGACAGAGAGAGACATAGAGACAGGAAGCGAGAAATCACCCCCTGGGAGGATGGCCACACCACAATCCCTTCTCCATTCTCCTCTTGGGATCTTGGGCATGCACGCACACGCGCCCGGCGTGAGTTTAAGCCACCGGGTCCGGGACGCGAACCGCGGTCGACTACGTGGTAGTCCAGCGACATAGCCATTATGCTAACTTCTGGTCCCTCTTCCCTTTGATATTGTGTCTCTGTGTCCCACTAGAACACCAGTTCCAGGAGTTCCTACGTTTGGAGTGCTTTGCTCAACGAGGTCCTAGCATTGCTTGGCAAAGAGTAAAGATCCAACAGAGATTCAAAAGATATTCGAACAAGTATTTACTGGGCACCTACTAAGTGCCAAACCCTTCACTGGGTTGTTGCAAAGGTGGTGGGGGTTGCTGCGTTTACATGGGAATAAACTGTATCCAAAGCTCTGCTCTGCTGCGGTTTCGTATTCATCACTCCCACTGCCTTACACCGTGGTTACCGTGGTTAGCATTTCACAGCGTCCACAGGCCTTGGACCAGACATCGCGTTGGTGAATGCTGTGACAGCTCCTGGGACAGGCAGGGCAGAAACAGAAGGGTCCCAGCAGGTCAATGAGTCACTGGGTAATTAAGTGACAAGGGCTAAGGTTAGAAACCAGGTTATGCAAAAACAAGAGCGAGGGGGCGATTTCCAAGGCATGATGTCTGGGAGACTATGTGATACTGAGAAATATTTGCTGAACCAATGTGGGCCGGTAGGTGGCATGGTGGTCAAGGTGCTAGATCTCACATGATCCACTTACACACTTGAGTCCCAGCCCCAGGGGCGTGAGAAACACACCGGGGACGTGTACATGCGTGCCCACCTACTGGGAGAAGAATGGAGGAGAGGGGATTGTGGCATGGTCGTTCTCACTCTCTCTGCTGAGCACATGTGCCTCTAACAAAACTAAAAATTCATCTTTATTTTCTTTAGTTACTGTTTTAAAGAGAGATTTTTGCTATAGGGCACATGCACTCACCAGAGAGACAGAGAGAAAGAAAGCGAGGAATCCCCCCCCGGGGGGAATGACCACGCCACAATCCCTACTCGTCCATTCTCCTCTTGGGATTTTGGCCACCCACACACACATGCCTGATGTGAGTTTTAAGCTGCCGGGTCCAGACTCGAACCACCATCGACTACGTGGGCGACCAGTGACATAACCGTTATGCCATCTGCTGGTGCCCCACCCCCATTGTTTTAAATTAAAAAAAAAAAAGACGATCTCTGTTAAAGAACTTGCCCGTGTGTAGGTGGGGAGGGGATGTTGATGCTATTAACCATGACTTACGTCAGGATAAATTCAAAATGCTCGGGAGTTTAATTGTGGGAGAATTAAGCCAGAACATTTCTAGTAACAAATATGAGAAAATTATTGTATAATTCTGGAGGAGAGGAGGCCTTTTATAACTGTGACTCATAAGTTCTGCAGTCATACTCTTTTTTTTTTTTTTTTTTGGAGAGGTTTTCACTATAGGACACATGTGCTCGCCAGAAAGACAGAGAGAGACAGAGAGACAGAAAGCGAGAAATCACCCCCCAGGGGGATGGCCATGCCGCAATCCCTTCTCCTCCATTCTCCTCTCGGGATCTTGGGCACGCACGCACACGTGCCTGGTGTGAGTTTTAAGCCACCGAGTCCGGGACGTGAACCGCAGTCGACTACGCGGGAGTCCAGCGACATAGCCATTATGCTAACTGCTGGTCCCCAGCAGTCATACTCATTTTGGAAAAAATAAAAATGGAGAAATTCAACTATATAAAAGAAAAAACCTGAAAGTCCCTGTAGGCCAAAAACACCTTTAGCAAAGACAAAGGACGAATAACAAACTGGGGGACACAAGGCAGAAATGCAACTGTGTGGCTAATTTCTCTACTTCTAAAGAACTGCAAATGAATTGGAAAAAGCTCATTACCCAATAAAATATGGACATAGCGGTTAATAAAATTAGAAAAAAAAAATAAAAAGAGGAGCATGAAGCCATCAAAAATGGCAAAATACAGACCTCCAAAACCGCATTCCCCCACTAGGACAATAATTAAGCTGACCAAAACTGTCAGAATCTAATTAAAACAAACAAACAAACAAACAAACAAAAAACTTAACAGTCAGGGGAATGCTTAGTTTAGAAAGAAGGCGCTAAATTTTGGTAAGAGAGCTTTGGAGACTTTTAAATCACTCCCCTATTCTCCCCTACTCCCCTGCTCTGTGACACCCTTGGAAAGGGGGCCCACATTCCTGGTACAGGAGCCAGTACCAGAGGGGACAACATGGACCTTGTTCTCACGGAATTGCGGTTGTGTGGTTTGACTTTCTGCCGTTACGGAGACTGGAAGACAACAGGATGACATATTTAAAGGTCTGAACGGAAAGAAAGAATCTTATCAAGCTAGCATTCTGTATTAAGCGAAACTTTCCTTCAAAAAATGAAAGCGAAAGGGACATTCTCAGGTTAACCCCAGTCACAATGACTAAGATTAAAAAAGAAAAAAAAAATGGTAAGTGCTGGCGGGAATGTGGTGAAAGGGGAACTCCTTTACACTGCTGGTGGGAATGTAAATTGGGCCAACCATTGTGGAGAACAATATGGAGATTTTCAAAGATCTACAAATACAACTACCATATGATCCAGCAATCCCACTTCTGGGTATCTACCCAAAAGACAGGAGAACACTTGGTCAGAAAAGTGCTTGCACATCTATGTTTATTGAGGTACTACTATTCACCATTGCTAAGACATGGCACCAACCCAAATGTCTACACACAGAACAGAATGAAAAACTGTGGCACATATACTCTATGGAATACTACTCAGCCATAAAAACAACAAGATCCTGGGTTTTGATAGACAGTGGATGAATATGGAAGATTTACTGCTGAGTGAAGCAAGTCAGGCTATGAAAGAGAGACACTGTATGTCCCCACTTAATATATATCAACTGCCTGTACTCCATGGCTGAAATTTAAACACAGAGGGTATAGAAACATGGAAAATGGTTATAGATACAGGATATAGTGTGGGAAGAGGGTGGGAGAAGGAGAGTCTGAGGAAAGATATTAAGGACAAAAATAGAGAGGCAAGACATTTATGAGACACAGAAATGGATTGTTATCTATTGATGATAACGTGTATAGTATCGCCAACTAGATTGGTGAGAAACGTATTCATGTTGAAAAGTTCACTGTATATGGCAAGTGATATATAGTGATTGAATGTATTAAAAAATTTTTTAAAAAAATAAAATATATTAAAAAAAAAAAAAAGCCGAGGGAATTTGTTGCTAGTAGATCTGCCCACAAGAAATGTTAAAGAGGGACCAACAGTTGGTGTAATGGCTATGTTGCTGGACTCCCACATAGTCGACCACGGTTCGAGTCCCGGACCTGGTGGCTTAAACTCACTCCGGGCACGTGTGCGTGCGTGCCCAAGATCCCGAGAGGAGAATGGAGGAGAAGGGATTGTGGCGTGGCCATTCTCCCAGGGGGTGATTTCTCGCTCTCTGTTTCTCTGTCTCTCTCTGTCTTTCTGGTGAGCGCATGCGCACTACAGCAAAAAAAGAAAAAAAAAAAACCTTTCCAAAAAAGACAGGAAAAAAAAAAAAAATACTAAAGAGAGTGTAGGTTGAAATGGAAGGCTACCAGACAGTAGTTTGCAGTTCTATGGAGAAATCGTAAATACTAGTACAGGTAGCTAGATAAGTAAATATAAAAACAGGTCTATTATATTTCCAGTTTGCAACTTCTGTTATATAGGATTTAAAAGACAAATGCATGAAGCAGTCATTGTCAATACATGCTAATAGGCACACAGTTCATACAGATGCTATGACAGGAACACCAGAGTGTGTGGAGGGAGCAGAGCTGTGTGGACACAGGGATTTCTGTACACCGTTGAAGCTAATTTGGCATTATTTCAAACTAGATTGTTACACATTTAACATTTTAATTGCAAACAAAGAAAATAAATAAAAATATAGAGGAGAAATGAGAAGAGAATCAAAGTCATACACTAAAAAAAACAAACATAAAAAGGGCAAT